CATTTCCTCAAACAATTGAAAGAACATTGATGAAGATAAAGCAGATATGCTCTTCTGCTTCATTTCATGACCTCATCATATGTTATTGGGCAGACCCTCTTGGTACACCTATGGATGAGTACTTCCTTGAAAATGAGGGTGACTATGCCCCATTTTCAGCCCTGAAACTCAGAAAGCATCTTGTGTCATTTCCACTTCGCTGTCTGATCATAGATGTGGAACTTCCCTTCACAATGCTACATGATCATTTCCTCTTAACTATTGGCCAGACCTGGCCATCTCTTGAAACTTTGCATCTGATTGCCGGAAATGGAATTTTTGTTCCTGTATCAGCCTCAACCCGAGGAGTAATGCAACTTCTGGGACTCTGCCAACAATTGGAGTCATTAAAGATTCCATTTTTTCATTCTGCTGATATTCAGCTGCAATCTCCTCCAACATCAACTTACCCCTGATTAACAATGTTGGGTATTGTCAAACTTGATAATTGCAGTCACAGTCGAACATCCTTTGCAAACTATGTGCATGGGACAATGCCCTCTATTACACAGGTTTCTGTCCAAACAGATAGTGTAATACTTTCGCATCATGAAATTAATATGGAGGACTTGGTAAAGTGAGTTTCATTATTCAATTTATACTTTCCTGATGTTCTTTCTCCAGAAGCGACTATACAGAAATGGACAATAATGGGTCTAGAGCATCTGAAAGTAGCTCAGATAATGAGCAAGAGTTATAAATAATAAATTTGTGTACTTCCTCACAGATCTTTCTCTAGACAAGTTGAGCTAAGTGTGATGTGCTTGCTATTGCTGAATCACATGTCCATGTAAATTTAAGTCATGTGATTGTTCAACTTTCAAATATTTGAACAACGACTGCCAATATTCTTTGTCCTCCATTGACTATGCATCCATATCGGTGGACTCTGTTGCTACTTACCATCATCCCTCTGCTCCTTACAATCTATCCCATTGATACAAACATAGAATCCAAAGCAACTTGCCAAGGATTGATAGTGGTTGGAAACAACCCGAGCCGTCATGCACCCATAATAGAGATTGGAAACAATCCGAGCCTGCTGGCAAATGTTGACTATGTCAATGACATTGAGAAACACTTGACTATGCAGAGAGATTGGGAAATATACGTTCAGGATATGACAAACTCTGTCATTGCTGATGAAATTCGAGAACTAAAAGTAAAAGTAACTTGCATTATTCATTCACTATTCGGTTTCACATTAGAATACCTATGCAGTCAAATACCAGCCTTGGTATACTATAGTGCAATTGTGTATTCTTTATCTGTTAACTATGCCATTGAGCTCTGCATTTTGCTTGCACTTTGGTTTTCAAGACACTGTACTTTCCGTCATATATATGCAAATAAACTTCGCTTGTTTCAAGAGCATCTCTCATTTTTACTACCTGCACTATTTGTTCGACATCAATTTGTTGTGCATTTCTCCTCTTTGATTCTTATTTCAAAAATAATTCAATTTACAATGGCCTATACATTTATCTCTTTCTCATCCATCTCCAACTGGTATGGCTATGAACTATTGTTGACAAATAGAGTATCCGCTATCCAAGTCTCCACCATAAACGAACCTTTTCTTCATTCTATTAAACATTGGTATGGGTATGGGTGCCCTTGTCAAGCAACGATGGCAGTTGTGCCTTCCAATCATTATGGGGGTGGAAAGGTTAGCACAAACTTGAGTGAAATAAAAAATTACATCACTCCATACAGTCTGGAGCTACAGAATGTGACCTCAGTTAATTATAAATACATTGGCCAGTTTGTGCTTCAAGCTGCTCAGGCTGAGTTACATAAAAACCCTGAACTGCTTATATGTTATATGCCATTGGAATTATTAAAGGGAAAAATATCATTGGTTCAAGCAAAATCCATTGCAAAAATGCACAATGTTACAATATCAAGCAAATCTCCAGTTGCAGAGGTCTTGGAGGTTTTATCAGCACATATGTGTTCCTTACGATGTTCACAATTTTATACATTGTTTACTCCAGAGAAACCAGCTTTGACATCTTCTGAATGTCAAGCTAAGTGGTACAAGGGTCTCAGTAAAGCAGACAAGAAAAAAATCATTAAAAAAAAGTACATTAAGTTTTTGAAAGGTCCAACATATAAAATTAAGAGAAGTAAAGAGAATAAGTCTACTTATCAGACATCAAAAATCACTAATTTCCCACCTAAACCACCCTCTAAGAAATTAATTCATAGAATAATCAGTGGATTCTGTGAAGACACACACCCTTCCAAACTTCTTGAATCTGGATGTGCAGTTTGTGGTCAGCTAACAAAATTATCAGACATGTTAAAACGATCTGATACCTCAAGTAACTTGGAGCCCTTGATTCGAGAAGGAGTTTCCCGAACAGAAAGAAAATCTGAACATGATGAAATCCATGAACTCATGGGGCCTGTGATCGATGATGACTGTAAATATATATGCAAAACTTGCAATAAAAGTCTAGACAAAGGAAAAATACCTACTAATGCACTTTGTAATGGTTTTTGGCTTGGTAAAATTCCTGACAAGCTTGCCTGCTTAACTTACGTTGAACAGCTGCTCATATCACGTGTTCGCCATAATCACTGTATAATCAAAGTAGCCTCTGGATGGTACAAGATGCATGCGAATGCAATAACTTTCCAAAATCCTGTCGCAAAGATTTATGACACTTGTGTAAGAGGCCATTGCAAGCATGGCAGGAACGAGTCCTATTTTGCAAGAGTGGTAGTGACCCATTTCTGCTTTCTTTTCGCTTTTTTTCTGGATTTGTAGCTATATTTTTTACAAACTAGTATATCTTTCTATTTGAGTGTCACTCTGGGCTTCAAGCAGAGTACCTCAGTATCATCACCATCAATGAGCAATATTTCTTATTTGGAAGTCTATTTAAACTTGACATCATCACTATTAATCAGCACCATCCTCAATTTTCTCTGATTTCTCTGCCATGTTATGACTATTTTTATTAGCTTACCATATTTGGATATCTACTTTAAACCCTGAACACATTATCTAATGATGATCCTACAATCAAAGAGTGCATACTGCAAGA